GTGATTTTGAATTTGTGGCTTATGGATCAAATCTAGACTAGATCTGAAAATATATGTGATTTATTGAGGTTTAGATGATTATTTGGATGAGAAATGAATTATTATGGCTATAGGATTATGATTCTAAGCTAGAGACTTAATTTTTAATTTTTGAGTATTTTAGGTACGAATTATGAAATAAAAAGAAAATTTTGATAATAGAAATTAGTTTAGAAGTTGATTTTTAGATTATTAATGTTTATTGATAATTAAAAGAGGAGTTATTAAAAATTATACTTAATAGTATTAACTATAGATTTGTATTAAGATTGAGATTAGGAATTATGTATATTTTTAATTCTATTATTAGAATTATTTTATTAGTTTCAAAAATTGAAACTAATATTTATAAATATATGTTATTTGTAGATTGTATTACTGGTGAAGCTTGTGGTGAGAGAGAAATTTTAAGGAAAATTTATTGAAAAAGCCCACAAGGTAACCATGCTTTAATTTGTGATTAGTGTTACTTCATGTTAATTGGTGATTATTGAGAAAATTATAAATTTTGTAATATTATATAATTGTGCAATATTATTATAAATTTATTTTGATTATTGTGGGAGGTGTTGGGAGACTTGCTATTGTTGTATTTATGTGCCACGTGGTACGCCCCTATTGGAGCTCAATAGGTGGTTGTAAGGGCTCGGGCTAATCTACCTTTGGCCGGGTAATTAGTACCGAGTGAGGGCTACGGCTCGAGGTTACTGGAGGGATATAAGGATGGTTGTTTGTGTGTATTTAATATTTCTTATATTTGTTGGAATTATATTATTTTTAATTCTCACTTAGTAAGCACACACTTAACTGTTTGTCTACACTATCATAACTTGGCTTTCGTACTGGGACTTTTGAGTCTCATTATGTGGTTAACAATTTTCAGGAGAAGAGCCACGAGTGACACGTGGAGGAGTCCCAGAGGCTTAGTGGTATAGATCCACTATCTCTTTGGGTATTTATTTATGATTTATAATGTATTATATTGCCAATATTAGGGCTTTTGTTTATTGTCAATTATATGAATATATAAATGTAATCATGTCTTTCAAAAACTATTTCTATTTTTGGTACAATTTGGATGACTGTAATTTTAATATTTGGTTACTTTGGATTGGTTATTAAAATGGCATGATTATAAGGCCAAATAACTGGCCTTGTGTTGAAAATTGACTAAATTGCTTATTTTATTTGTTGGACGTATAAGGATGGATAAATATAATTAGTTTACTTGTTGGGAGTATAAGGATGGACAAATTGATTTAGCCTAATGGCATGTGGGAGGTAAAAATTTATCTGAAATGTTATAGTGTGTGAGTTGAAGCCAATTATAAAATATTTTATATCGAAATTATTGATATAAAAATGTGTGGGTGGCTGTAACCCAACTATGGTTGAGTTAAAATTATAAAAAAAAAATTTGGTGTGTTACAGATTTTGTCATGTAGACTGAGGCAATGCTTTTGTATCAAGGACTTGACTGTCATAAATTTTGCATTTTTAGAATTTATTGTCCTTCTCCCTTATCCTAACTCTTTAGGAATTCATATGCTTCATTCTCGTCTAACTAGAGCAGTACATGCAATAGCCACGAGGCTTTGAAAGCTAAGAGTTGTTCGTAAAATCATCCAAATCCTTATGGTTAGAAGTTAGTCCAAAAGCATGAACTGAAAAAAACTAGTAGCTACCTCGTCTAAGTATGGTTTTCTACATAATAAATGTTGATCCATCCTTATTCATCTAATCTACACCCCACTACTTAGCCCTAGATTTTTTTTTTTTTACCTAAGGTAGCCAGCAGCTGTGAGATTAATCTTTTAAGTAATCAAAGCACTATTTACGGGTTTGTCTTTTAAAAAAATGTTTTATACCACACACCAACAAGAATCAAATCTTGGAATGAATTTAAGAGATCCAAACCTCTACCATCTTTACTATACCCACTTGGTCTTGTCCTCAAATGGTATTAGTACATGTAAATGATATTTAGACTATGGAAATTCAACCTTTTACATTCATGTGTACACAAATTTTGTAGGGAAGCATTTGGGTTAAGCTGCATTATTTTCTAAGCAGAAAAGAATAGTTTGAAATATGGAAAACATGCTTCCATCTCAAAAAAAAATATATTTTTGATCTATAAGCCATGATAAAAATAGAGAACTCAAAGGAAACTAATCGGTCACATCAATGACTAGTTGATTCAAAGTAGCAAGATAAAGTAATGATTGATTCTTAACTTTATAAA